CAAGGTTGCGAAACACTGCTGTGCATGGAAACAATCCCCCCACTCCCCGTCCTAAAATTACAATCACGATGGGAAACATTTAAATATTTTTCTTCTTTTTAAAAAAGAACAACCACGTATTGTTTCTCTCTCTCTCTCTCTCTCTTTCCGATTCGGTTCCCGCCCACCCCTGGATCCCGAGAAACCCCCCCCCCCCCGGCCAAGTTCACCGGCAGGTGTGCATTTCCACCACCCGGTGGCACTGCTTGCACTTGACGAAACAGCACCAGTGGAACTTGCAACTGCAGCGCTCGACGAGGTCCACCTCCTCGGTGTGGAAGCCCCGCCCACAGCACATCAGCTCACACCCGTCGATGGCCTTGGAGGTCTTGTTGCACGACCTCCCGTGAGTCCCCAGCAGGCCGTTCCGCAGGTCGTGGTCGCAGAAATCGGGGCTAGGCTCCAGGTAGACCAGGTCCTCGTCCGTGTGCGGCTTGAACTGAGAGTTCTTGGGGACTAGCACCTTGGCCGAGGAGCCGACCTTACGCTGCTCCACCTCGGTGGCCCCGTCGAACTTCTCCTTCAGCACGTGGCCCACTTTGCGGAAAGGGGGCATGGCCTTCCAGCAGGTCTTGACCTCGCACGAGCCCGACACGCCGTGGCACTTGCACTCCACCCTCATGTGGTTCAGAATGGCCTGGGAGAAGTGAAAGGAGAGAGACACACACACACACAAAATGAATGTCGAGACCACGGAGAGAGGGTAGGAAGGGGAAGGGGAAGAGTAGGGGTAGGGGAGAGGGAAGGGAAGAAGGAAGAAAGGTAAGGAGAGGAAGGTGGAAGGGAGAGAAAGAGAAGGAGAGAGGGTAGGAAGGGGAAGAGGAAGAGTAGGAGTAGGGGAGTGGTAAGGGAAGAAGGAAGAGGAAGGAGAGGAGGGAAGGAAGAAAGAGGTAAGGAGAAGGTGGAAGAGAGAGAAGGAGAGAGGGTAGGAAGGGGAGGAGTAGGAGTAGGAGAAAGGGAAGGGAAGAAGGAAGAGGTAAGGAAAAGGTGGAAGGGAGAGAAAGAAGGAGAGAGGGTAGGAAGGGGAAGAAGAAGAGTAGGGGAGAGGTAAGGGAAGAAGGAAGATCCCCGTACGAGAGGTTGGGAGTCAAGCCATCCGAGGAAGTAATCGCTGGGAGGAGTAACAAAGCCCATGGTGCCGTTACCTTCCGCCCGGCTTCGTTGTTATGGAGGTTCATGAGGGCCCGGTTGGAAGCGGCCCCTTTGCTTCGCTCTCTGACGTCCACGAAAGACTGGGAGAAAGCCACGCCGTAAGCAATGTTGTCCGAGCAGCCGGACCACTGGAAGCCTGGAGGAAAGAGAAAGAAAAGGGAAGAGGATATCGGCAGCTCAGAGCTGGGTGTTTTTTTTTCCCTGCAGACGTTTCGCGACCCAGCTAGAGAACACCATCAGTGCTAGGAGGGAGGGGAGGGTTGCAGAGAGGAGGAGGAGGAGGAGGAGGAAAAGGAGGAGGACTGGGGGGGTGTCCTTTGGTGCTCTCTGAGCTGGATGATTTTCTTGCAGACATTTCGTGACTCAACTAGGGTAATATCGTCATCAGGAGGAAGAGGGAGAAGGAGAAGGAAGAAGAAAAAGAGGGAGAAGGAGGAGGAAGAAGAAGAAAAAGAGGAGGAGGAAGAAGGAGGAAAGAGTGGGAGAAGAAGGAGAAAGAAGAAAAAGAGGGAGAAGGAGAAGGAATAAAAGAGGAGGAGAAGGAAGAAAAAGGAGGAAGATGAAGAAAAAGGAGAAAGAAAAGGTGAAGGAGGAGGAAGATGGGGAAGAAGAAGAAAGGAGGAGGAGGAAGAAGGAGGAGGAGGAAGATGAGGAAGAAGAAAGGGGAGAAAGAAGGCAGAGGAGGAGGAAGATGAGGAAGAAGAAAGGAGGAGGAAGAGGGAGAAGGAGGAGGAGGAGGATGAAGAAGAAAGAGAAAGAAGGCGAAGGAGGAGGAAGAGGAGGAAGAAGGAAGAGGAGGAAGAAGAAAGAGGAGGAAGAGGGAGAAGGAGGAGGAGGAAGATGAGGAAGAAGAAAGAGGAGAAAGAAGGCGAAGGAGGAGGAAGATGAGGAGGAAGAAGAAAGAGGAGGAGGAAGATGAGGAAGAAGAAAGAGGAGAAAGAAGGCGAAGAAGGAGGAAGATGAGGAAGAAGAAGAAAGGAGGAAGAGGGAGAAGGAGGAGGAGGAAGATGAGGAAGAAGAAAGAGGAGAAAGAAGGCGAAGGAGGAGGAAGATGAGGAGGAAGAAGAAAGAGGAGGAGGAAGATGAGGAAGAAGAAAGAGGAGGANTGAAAAACAGGCCATTTTTTTCCTTGTTCTCTCCCTCCCCCCCCCCCCCCCCGGAACACTCTACAAGCCTCCTAAAGGCTATCCATGCCTTTTGGGGGGGGGGGGGAGGAAAGGGCCGGGTTTTTTTGAAAAACAGGCCATTTTTTTCTTTTTTTTCTCCCCCCCCCCCCCCCCCCGGAACACTCTACAAGCCTCCTAAAGGCTATCCATGACCTTTTTTCGGGGGGGAAAAAACTGGGCCAGTTTTTGCAAGGTTTGCAGAGTGCAAAAAACAGGCCATTTTTGGGAGGTTTACGGAGTACAAAAACTTTTTTTTTTAATTTGCCTCTTCAAAACCTTGGTGTGTCTTATACTCTGGAAAATATGGTATGTCTTTACTTTGTACCAAGAGTGGTCAAAAGGACTTAGAGCCGTGATGGTGAACCTGTAGCATGGGTGCCCAAAGTGGCACACAAAGCCATGTCGCCCGGCACGCGTGGCCTTGCATGTTTGTCTCCTGGGTTTCTGGCCTGCATGCCCACATGACGATCAGCTGTCCTCTGACAGTGCCAAAAACCATGTGCGCCGGCCAGCTGATTGTTGGGCGTGCCTGTGCACTAGAAACTGGAAGTTCGGGTTGTCCGTGGCTGTAGGTGCAATTGTAGGGACATCATGGTGCCACACACAAAACACAGAACTGGGTAATTCGCATCCTATTTGCATGGTGTTATTTCCTCAATCCTGAACCAAGATTACGTGGGAATGGGTTCAGTCAGAGATAAGCACTGCTGACTCCTTGGGGAGTCCATGGATCGTTTCTGCTCCGTGCCTTTTGTCTTCTCCCTTAATAGGGCATCCCTTCTCCTCTTCCAAGACGATGGGCGAAGGAGATGGTGCCAAGGAAGATGAGCTTTTGCACAGAAGGACAATCCCTGGATGACTTCCTCCTCATTTATTGTGCTGTGTGGTAATCACTGATTGATTTAAAGAGATCAAAACAGGGAAGAAGATCCTAGCTCGCTTTCTTCCCTCCTTCTCCCCCTCCATCAGTCTCTCCTTCTTTTTCCTTCCTTCCCTCCCTCTTTCTCCTTCCTTCCTTCCCTCCCTCCATTTCTTTTTCTTTCCTCCCTTCTCTCTTTCTCTTTCTTTCCTTCCTTCCCCCCTCCCTTTCTCTTTTTTCCTTTCTTCCCTCCCTCTTTCTCTTTCTGTTGTCTTCCTTCCTTCCCTCCCTCCCTTTCTCTTTCTTTCCTTTCTTCCCTCCCTCTTACTCTTTCTGTTTTCTTCCTTCCTTCCCTCCCTCCCTTTCTCTTTCTTTCTTTTCTTCCCTCCCTCTTTCTCTTTCTGTTTTCCTCCTTCCTTCCCTCCCTTTCTCTTTCTTTCCTTTCTTCCCTCCCTCTTACTCTTTCTGTTTTCTTCCTTCCTTCCCTCCCTCCCTTTCTCTTTCTTTCTTTTCTTCCCTCCCTCTTTCTCTTTCTGTTTTCCTCCTTCCTTCCCTCCCTTTCTCTTTCTTTCCTTTCTTCCCTCCCTCCCTCTTTCTCTTTCTGTTTTCTTCCTTCCCTCCCTCCCTTTCTCTTTCTTTCTTTTCTTCCCTCCCTCCCTCTTTCTCTTTCTGTTTTCTTCCTTCCCTCCCTCCCTTTCTTTTTCTTTCCTCCCTTTTCTCTTTCTCTTTCTTTCTCTTTCTTTCCTCCCTCCCTCCCTTTCTCTTTCTTTCCTCCCTTTTCTCTTTCTCT